CACCGGAAATCGGTGATTTTTCGTAGTGCAGGATGATATAAATATCGTCCCGGACGATGTTACCAAATATAAATCTTTAGGAATATAGAAAATCTTCTAAGTTACAAATCATCAGATGCCAACCAAATACACAGACTCAAGGAAGGAAAAAAGATTACAAACTGACACAGACCTAGTCTACCAATCTTGAGTGGTTCCAGATTCAGTCTGATGTTGGACTGAAAGTAGCACATAAGGCAATCGTAGAGAAATAAGGAAATGTTGTTCTATCATCAAAATCATAAACCATAGATCCGCAACAATCTTCCCCCTTTTGATGATGCAAAATATTTCAATTAATTTTCAAAAGTAAAAACAATTTCTCCTAATCTCCCCCTACTAGAATAACACTTTTAAAAATAGAGGAGTAAAAAATTTATTTTTTAATTTTTTAATAAGATACAAACACCGGAAACAGTACAAAATTCAAAATCGTTTCCCCCTTTAACATTATCAAAAAGAGAGGGAGGCACAAACAAAAAAAAAATTGAAAAAGAAAGAAAGAAAAACCCTATCTAGTGAAAAACAAATATTCTAAAAATGAGAAAGTTACCTCTTAGTTTTAATCAAAAAATTTAGTAAAATTGGATTGACAACGCATAGCTCAGAAAAGGTTAAAAATTCAGAATTTGATAATCTAAACACAAGTTTTTTTAAAAAGGCTAAAAACTTTTAATCCAATATCCAAATCAAGGAATAAACAGGAAAAAAGAAAATATTAATTTTTCAAAAACTCCTTTCATAAAACATATCCAATAGAAGATCAATGCACGAATTGCTGAATCAGGAACCAAGATTTTCAAGCACAAGTTTCGAGCATATCAAGAATTTTCTTAGGCTTTTAGTATAAGGAAAAAAAAAGCATATTTTTTTGTGGGCTCATTTTATGCCCTTTATCACTTGAATGGCTCTTTGAGCATCTTTTGATTTTTAATACACTTTGTGAATATTTTTTTTAATTTAGCGTCATTGCGCATCTTTTGGTTTAGCATTATTCGCAACTTTTTTTTTAATTATTTTAAAAAATATGCTTTCTTTCTTATATTTTTAAAACCAAAGTAAACCCAAATTATTGACAAACACGAACAACTTGATTGAAAAATTTTATGGGGATTTAACAATCTTGCAAAAGATTCCTATGCGATAGAAAAAATGTAGGGAGATAAAAAAATAGTTTCAAAATCCAATTTAAAATATGATGAAGATTTTGAATCAAAAGTAAAATAACCTCTTTAAGAAGGAGAAAAGAGAAAACAATCATGAGTTCCCTTCCTCTGACTATTTTAGAGAAGTCAAACATATCTTACTAAAGATTTAAAGAAAAAATAGGAAGTAGATTTTTCATTTTTAGAAAAGTGAATGTGTTTGTTGATAAAAAAAAACTTTCATGAAAATGAAAATTTCAAAGAATAAACAAAAAAATGAAAAACATAAAAACAACAAAAATACGAAAGGCTTTTAATCATTTTCTCTCTCCTAGTCCGATGCTTAGAAACCAGATCTCCAATGAGAATTTTTCCTTTCATTATTTTCCAGTTTAAATTTTGCTTGCCTTGCTCTTTTCTTTCATAGGAAGAATTCTTAAATTATGGCACTAATTTTTCATATGTCCAGGCTCCTGCATCGAAAGTAAAATAATTAGAAGAAATATGACATCCTTACCACTTTTACCTTTTTTCCACTTTTGCTTATGCATAAGTGAGCTTTGTGATTTGCTTGACACGTCATTATCTTCGTCACCAACTAGGCTATCTCTTTCTGTATCTTCAGCTTTTAGAATAATAGTTTCACCTGCAACAAATTTTTACCCAAACCTTGCTCGTAGGCAATGAGTGAGCAAACAAATTATCAATAGAATACTATTCAAATTTTTTGATTCACAAAATGAACTACTTTAGTATCAACTTATCAGTAGACAAGAAGAATTTTGTTAACTTTTTCAAAATTTGAAAAATTTTTCCTAAAGCATACAATGAGTTTAAAAATTTGAATGAATCTGTATACATGTCTAAGATCGTTTCATAAGGTTTATGGAAATAATTCAAAATCATGCATTAACAAATTCAACTTGGATTGCTTGATTTCATTCGTGCCTTCGTATATGGTATGTAGTTTATCCCAAACTTTCTTACCAGTAGTGCACGTGGATATAACATAAAATTTCAAAATTTAAAGCACAGAAAAAGCAATTTAAAGATTTTGCATTCAGTTGAGCATTCAGTGTTTCTTCCTTATTCCATTGATAAAAAGATATCAGTTTTAACTCCATTAACAAAAGTGACGGTGATGAATAACCAGTTAAAATTATATGCACATGCGAAAATCATCGATTGCAAGAAAATAGACATGCGAGTTTTTCAAAAATCAAATGACATATTTTTAAATAAAGAAGATCTGGTGATTGAATATCCTTCCGCAATATTACGATTAGAAAAGTTAGCCATGGATCGAAAATTCAAAAGCATTAAAACTAATCTTTGAAAATGGCTCTAATACACTTGAAGTGCTCAGATGACACTAGAAAGTGCTCTGATACCACTTGAAAGTTGTTAGGGATGTTAAGCCTATAGAACTGGCCCAAGCTAACCAAGATGAGGGGGGGGGGGGGAGGCGTGAATTGTATTTTAAAACCAAAGTTAAAACTCAAACCAAAATCACCACAGAAATCAAAGTGTGGAAATTAAATAATGCAGAAGCAATAATAAGAAAAGAACACATCGAATTTATAGTGGTTCGGTTAAACCTTGACCTATGTCCACTCCTTGGAGGCACCCTCCAAGTATTGCACTAAAAGAAGTGTCTCTCCTTTAGCCGCCACAGCTAAGCGGAGAAGCCCTTATAAAATCACTTCCACCTTCCCCGGTGCGGCGGAGTCGCCGGGTCCTTTGACACCAAATAGATCTTCTTCTTTGGTGAACTTACCTCAAGACAAGCCTTGAATCCGATGGTACTAAGGTGCGAGTTCGCCGGAGCAATGTGTGGATCCCCCACCGCACTCCCTTGAGTTCCTCCCCCTCACAGGATCTTCTTCCTCTCAAACTCCACCCTTTCCTCTCTTCCTTTCAAGCTCTCTCTTCAAGTTTCTCCCACAAGAACGAAGCTACAATGGCTGCCAAAGACACTTACAAAGTGTCTTGCCATAGCTTAAATAGAAGCTCTCAAAACGAGTTCATTAATGCAAGTTATCGACATTATCGTCCAGGACGATAGGCATATCGTCCTGGCCGATCAATACAAATTCAGCTCAACGGCCTGGGACGATTTGAGACGATCAGAAGAAAATTGGTTATATCGTCCTGGGTGATCTCACGATCGTTCCGGACGATTAGTTTAAAATCGATTTTAATCGTCCTGATCATCACCCTGATTTGGTGCTGGCTGAAGTTGATCGTCCAGGACATCGTCCCGGACGATGTGATCATATCAATCAACCATTAATGATTTCCAAATACTACCAGATCAATTTAGGTATAATTGAGTTAGATCGTCCTGGACTATATGAATATCGTCCTGGCCGATTTCCTAAAATAAAGAATACCTAAACTGATTATGGCGGCTGATTCTTTCTGAATTGAGAATATCGTCCTGGACGATACATGTATCGTCTAGGCTGATATGAATATGACGGCTGGCTTAATGAGGATGCCCTAATTAGGGTTTCTACTTTTGTCAGATCGTACAGGACAATATAAATATCGTCCCGGACGATGTTATCAAAAATAGAAATCTTTTAGGGCACAATAGAAAATCTTCCAAGTTACAAATCATCAGATGCCACGCCAAATACAAAAGACTCAAGAAAGGAAAAAGATTACAAAGTGACACAGACCTAGTCTACCCAATATTGAGCTGGTTTCAGATTGCAGTCTGATCGTGTGGACCTGAAACGTTAGCACATAAGGTAATCGTAGAAAAATAAGGAATGTTTGCTATCATCAAAATCATAAACCATAGATCCGCAACACCGACAACAGGCAGAAGTCTGCACCGTGTAAAAACTTGGCGACGAGCGGAGGTCTGACATCGGGTAGAAGTTCGACGTCAGGTAGTAGTCGAGGAGAACTCTATTGTTATATGGTATTCGGGCAGAACTTCAGCGTCACTTAGAGGTCAGGCGGAATTCTTGCTTCACTTGGAGGTCATGCAAAATTCCGACGTCACTTGGAGTTTGGGTGAAACTCCAATGTCACTTGAAGGTTGGGTGGAATTCCGGCATCACTTCGAGGTCGGCGGAATTTCAACGGTGGTCAAGGAGTTTCTTTCATCCTATTCTTCTTCTCTTCTCCTCTTCTTGCTTGGGTCATCTTCCTTTTTTTCTCTCTTAAGAGAAATGAGGGGTCTATTTCTAATTTTTTGAGAGTGGCATGACCCGTAAATAGGGGAAGGATCAAGGACAAATGTAGAGTGGTTTGGATGGATGGTCAATATTGAATCCCTTGATCGTAGACAGTTTGTCAGACATTTGAAGGCCTTAATGATATCATAATTTGGCGATCTTGGGCTCGTTGGATTTGTCTCTTCGAGCCGCTCAATTTTACTATAAGCATGTTATATTTGGAAACTTTTTGGTAATCCAAATTATGTATTGAACCTTCTAAATGTGCTTTGGGCCTTCGATTTGGACCCATTTGGGCTCGGATCGAGTTGAATTTGGTGTCGTTGGGTTCATATATCCGAGACGATCAGTTCGACTATAAGTTTGCTGAAATCGGAGTTTATTTGGTCGATATGTTTACATGAAACATCATTATTTTGATCGAAGAGAAAAAGGCATCGACATTTTTGAACAAAAGTAGCAAGCTTTTACTGTTTGGGCCTTAATAAGCCCAATTATCAGAGGCCAACTCATATGTGGATTTAGAACCGAAAGTTTAGTTGGGCTGGGCTGGCCCAGACACGTCTGAGGCGTCTGCAACATCAATCCGTTCATTTTGCGGGCATATGCAATCCAATAAATTTCAGGATCTATTCTCTTTCGGCGGCAACTCGTCTTCCCCCATTTGAAACCCTAAATCCCTAATTGACTAATCTTAGTTGTTCTCCATAGGCGATTCGATGGGAAAGAGAAAGGAGCGCCGCCTCGCGGCTATGAGCGCTACAAATCGAAGAGTGAAACTCGATCTCCTTGCTGAACCCTCTGGTAATATGAATTTTTTCTTTTCATGGCTAGGGTTTTCGAGAGAGTAGGCTTCTGTGATTAGTTATATGCCAGGATAAGGCGTCACGTATGATCTTGAATGATTCATATTTATACGATACTTTTTTTTATATATATTGATGCTGCCACTTTGTTAATTGTTCCCAAGGTTTTCAAACGATTGAATTGTTTGTGTTATACAAATTTTCCACTATAATCTGACTTTTTTGCTCGCATGCAGCCTAAATAATTCTTGCAAGTTCTTATCCAAAACTGTAGTTCATTTGTATCACTATAAATAAATCTGTCCATATATTCTTTTGGTTTTATTTCTTTGCTGCCGGTTTTGCTTTTGTTGTCGGAAATTGATAAATTATTTATCCTTTGTGTTCTGTGACCTGAAGACAAGGGCCCAGTTTCATCATCACAGTTAATTTTCTTTCATGACCAATATTTTGCACAACAATAGAGGTCTTGTATTTTTGATCCTTCTGCAAATTGGTCATTAAGTTCATTTTATGAGCATGCTAGCAAGCATCCTATTGCAATGGCTATTACATCCAAAACACTTCGTTTTGTTGTTGTGGTAAACATATCCGACACTGTGGAGCTTTCATTTATAATAATAATGTGGCGCTGATAGAAGTTTAGCGTATTTATTAGATATTGAAGATTGTTTAGCTATTGTTTTAGAATTTACAATAATTGAAAATTCTTGATATATTGGACCACTGTTTCTATGGTTGCTTACAATTTCTCTATTATTATGATTTTTTGGGAAGTTTGTGCTTCAAATTACTTTTGTTGTTCCAAGCTCAATACTTGTGTTCAAATTGAAGAATGTTTATATATGCAAAACCCTACAAATTTTAAGTTTTTTATAATATATTAACTTCATTCATAGCTTCTTTATTATCAATTCACATTTTGTTCGGCTCATACTATCTTTTTGTGCCTTGAAGATGTACTGTTTCCCTTAAACCCCTGCAAATTTTTAAGTATCAAATGTATGTGCACCTTTTGTGACATATTTTAGTATTTATCAATTTTAGGAATATGATTAATGTGTATCCCCATCATGTTCGAACTTATTTTGTATTTTCTTTGCTATTTGAGTGGTGTGGGATTCCAGAGCTGAAATTAGAATTATATGTAAACTTGGATTTTTCACTGGAGGTCAGTAATCCCACAAAACTGGAATCAAAATTGATTCTGAACTTTGTATCGTACTACAAGAAAAATTTTCTTATGCCAATCTCTATATCTTGCAACTTTGACTGATTTTCTTTTGACTTGGTTTAAAATTTCTTACTTCGATATGAACAGGAATAAGTTATTGCATTGTTCATGTTGAGTGATACTGATATTTGACTTGAAATTGAAAACAACGATTTTTAACAAAGTGTGAAGTTCCTGAGCGTAGTTTGTTTTTTTAGTCATAGATATACCTAATTTTAGCCATCAAACATTGATAAACATGTTCCTTTAAACCAAGAGGAAGTAATAAACTAGCTTAGTTAGTACTACAGTTCTGTTAGTTTTTAATTTTCTTTACGTGCCTTTGTATATGCATCTTAGAGTCTATAGTTTATACCTCTGTAGTTATAGAATGTGTTTAAAATGTCATATTAGTGCGAATCATCATTATTAAGCTAACATTTCATGTTGTGTTCAAGATATTTCTTGATGCGTTTTCTGCTTAATTTGAAAAAATTCTAACATTATGCATTGTTTTTACTGCAGAGGAGGCAGTGTGCAATTCTATTAATGAGGAAGCTGGAGTGAATCAAGAACAAGATCATTCTGCTAGTGTTCCTTCTTCACCATCTTCCTCAGGTGGGTTCCATCAATTTCTCTTCAAAGGACTATATAGAGAAGATATCCCTGCACAACATATTTTTGGTGGAAATTTGGAAATACTGCAAACGATTTGTTGCATGCACCAAGATTTTGGTTTTGAGACTGTAGGGTGGCTGAGGTCTAAGGAATGTTCATAGTTGTTACAGATCAAGCTGCCACCATGAATAATACTTAATGACATTTTTGGCAGCATCTTGGAGATTTCGGGAGGAATTGTGGCCTTCTTGGTTCGTATGTTTTCATCTTTTTTTGGTTTCTACCTGGCTAACATTCATATTCATCTTATTTTCAGGTGACACGGCATGGTCATTTGCCTAACAAATCATTATTTATAACTTTATTTTATATAGTTATCTATAGTAAAATCCATGCATTCATTGTGTGTTTTTAAACTTGCTTTTCAACTTTTTAGTGAGTTGCTTACAGTTTTACATGATGTTTTTGTGTACTCAGGTCAAAATAAGGAGAATCCGCTGCTCTTGCTTGGACAGTATAGTGATGATGAATTGGATGATGAAGCAAATAAACTGCAGAAAGATGCTGACGACGTGGATTATTCAACTGGTTCAGAGGTAATTATAGCATTCATTTTTTTTGTAGGTAAATGCCTTATTATGGGAATCTTTTTCTTCATCTTTTTGGTTAATTATGTTATTTCTTTCACATCTTATTTATGTTATCTATTTACCTCTCATTTAATTGTATTTATTTTTATTAAATGAGAGATAAATAGGGATTATTATCACACTTAATCTCTAAAATATCTGGAATATTATTCTAGACATGTTGGTGTTCGTGTGGCTAGCATGAAGCAAGATGTGCATATGGGTTTTTTTTTAACCCCTTCTTACATTAGATAACTTCTCTTATGCTGTCTTAATTCTCCACTACAGCTACGTGCACCATGCCACAAGCTCGATATTTTAGAGTATTTAATAAAAATAAGAAATAGCCATACTGAACTATTTTGGTTCTTAACTTCTGATATATCTGTGTCTTTGTGAATCTCAAACCAGCTCACATTGATATACTCTTACATTTTTAGCTTGAATAATTTTGCTTTATTTTCAAACCCAAGAATAACAACTACCCCTCTTCATTAACTAAGGACTATTCTTAAAGAGCATGTTATACCTTTGTCATAATATACATTGAAGTTGAATATTTGTTGTACTAGTTTTGTATCTTTGTATACTTTTTTCATAATTAAATACTCTTAAGTTATAAGATTATATGTTGAGATCACATTCTATTATCCAGTTCTATGTAAGGTGATAAGGTATTTCCTTATCTAATTTCTTATCAAGTGCTTTTATTATTTAATCAAATGAAGTAATTCTGTTGGCTATTTATTGTATTTAATGCCTTGAAAATTGATACTCTAATTTTTTTCTTATTGTTAATTAAAATATCACATGATATATTATTTTAGTTGGTGTAATATCAATTATTTGACTATATTTTTGAAAATAAAGTGATATATCTAGGCATAATAGGGTTAGTTATTTTAGATTCATTATATAGAAGAATGGAGATTTAGATGAGGATATAAGTTCCAGAATCAAGATTTGGTTGGTAAAATGAAGAACAATCTAAGGTGTAATATCATTGAGACTTAAAAGTAAATTTTATAAATTTGTAAGTAGAGATAAGGTAGTGGAAAATATCATTAGTTGGTTTTTGAACATGTATAATTAGGATTGGATAAAATTTGTTGAAAGATTGGGAAGGAATAAAACTGAGCTAATATGACATGCATTGAATTTATTAAAAAGAGTTATGTAGGGTATATTTATGACACTCAACATAAATAAATGAAAAATGAAGCTTCATAAAATGATGTCTTATGTTGTGTAGTGTAGCCTGGCATATGGTATATAGTTTATATTATAGTATAGTATAGTATAGCATATGTTATAGTATATAGTATTATATGGTGCAGTGTAGTTTAATATTATATATAGTGTAATATAAAGAATATAGTTTAGTATATAGTACATCATATAATATTTTATATGGTATTTCATAGTAAAGTAGATAATTTAGTTAGTGTATTATAGTATGTGTTGTTTTTGTATTATATTGGTTCAAATATATTTCTGCTGCTATAGTGCTTCAGTTTTACTGTATATGCTGTTTTTGGCTGCAAAAAATTCATTTAGTTTTTCATGCATTTGCACTTACGTGATAAGCATCTTCCTAAAATTTTTGAACCACCCCTAGCTTGGTCGTACTTTTTGATTTCATCCTTTCTTTTTGCGACTAAAATGAAGCGATCATCTTGCATTATAATTTCTGAAGCTCAGAGTGTAGTTTTCTCCATTGTGAAAATATTGCTCATCTACCATGTTTTCTTTTTTTTTGTGTCTCTTCCTTAACACGTAGTTTCCTTTCCAGGGAAAGGAGCATGCAGTTGTAACTGAAGATTTAGGAAGTAACAAGGACGAAGTTATTGAAGATAGCACTTGTAAACAAGAGTTGGATCAAACTGGCAGTCCTAAAGAATTGAAGGCCAATGATACCGAAGCTATTAAAAATGCTTGTGTTGATATTGAGCACTGTGAAACTGAACTAATTTCTCAGACTTCTGTAGCTGAGCCATCTGAGAATCAAGCTAATGGTCATGTAAATGAACACTGGAAACTGGTGTTGCACGAGGAAAGCAATCAATACTATTACTGGAACACTGTGACAGGAGAGACCTCATGGGAGGTGCCTGCAGGTCTGGCTGTTGATGCACAAAACACAGATGAACAAAGTGTATGTTCTGCTATTGAAGAAAAAGGGGCTAATGCTTTGGAAGCGCATACTTCTAGTGCTGAAAACGTTGATTTGGAAATCTATGGTCAAGTTCTTGGTGCTGATGTGCATGAAACTAACAATATCATCTCCAAAGAGACTGAGGGATATGAAAACATAGAATTGAAGACTGCGAAGGTTTTTGATAGCAGTCAAAGTATTGAACAGTATTACACTGACAATGTTACTGCATCTTATAGCAATTTTTCTGGGTATTCAAACCTCTCAGATCATATTGGGTTGCATCATGCATTGGATAATGAAGAGAAGGATGCTGATCTGTCAATACATTGTGATCGCCATGCAAGTGAAGATGCTCATGCTTCACAGCTGGTGCAATATGGTGAAGCTTTACTGCAGAAGTTGGACATGCTGCACAGGTATTACTTTTTTTTTTCCCTATCTGGTATCTTCTTTTTTATCAATCTATTTTGAATTTTAATGTGTATTATGCCAGGTCTGATCAATGGCTTGAAGGATATGAAGGGATCAGAAAAGAGATTGATATCAGATTATCTGATTGCAGAGCACTTTCATCATATGGTTCATCCTTGCTTCCCTTTTGGTGGCATACTGAAGTACAATTGAAGCAAATTGAATCTGCAATAGACAAAATTGAAGCTTCCGTTCCAGTTCAAACTGAAAATTTCAGTGATTTGAAGGCCGGGCAAATGGCTCCTCTAGAAGGTTCATATTCTGAAGTTACTGAGGAGCACAAAATTACTGTTACTTCTGAATTTGTAAAGGATATGACCAAAAATGAGAATGCTAGTACTGAAAAGGCTTCTCCAATAACTGATTTTAAGTCGCAAGGAAGTGAGCATCAACCAGAGATTGTTCCGGAGGTCAACCTGCTTCCTGATTCTTCTAATGCTGCACCTTCATTAGTTGATAATACTGAAGAAGATATGGACGTTGAAATGGAGGTTGATGAAGAAATTCCCTATTCGCCAACATCCATAACTGCATGTCCAAACCCTTCAGAACAGTTTTTTCAGATTAATCTGCCATCATCACAGTGCCCTTCAACTCTGCCAAATGAATCCAATGTTCCTCCTCCAGAAGAGGAGTGGATTCCACCTCCACCTCCTGAGGTTGAACCACTTCCACCTCCACCACCTCCTGAGGGTGAATCGGATCCTCATCCTGAAGAACCATTAGCACACTTTCCTCCATCTTATACTGAGACAACGTCCTATCCTTTTCCAGATCAATATAATGTGGGATACCACATTCCAGCTTATGGCTTTTATACTACCACAGGTTCTGAAGTCTCTAATGGCAATTACTATGGTATTGTTGGAGGCAGTCAGCTCATTGAATCAGAAACACCAGGTTACTATGATGAGCCTCAAGCTCCAAGTGTTTTACCAGAAGTGGCTTCTAGTGTTACCCCAGTTGGGTCCGCAACATACTATGATGTTGCAAATGTGTCTATTTCTTCTGGACCCGTGTTAAGTAGCATAGGGCCCTCTGCATTCTATGTGGAATCAAGTGCTGTTAATTATCAGGATATGGCTCCTGTTAGCGTTCATGCGGCAACTGTCGATCTTCCTGTAGATTCTCTAGACAATTATCTACCCAAGGCAAGTAAGGAGTCTCAAGTAAGAACTTTACAGGCTTTATCCGGCCTATCATCTGTTCAAGCTTTGGTAAGTTCATCAGAAAATGATAGGAGTTTAGATGCTCAATCTCCAGCTTCTTCAAAGAATGAATCTGTTAAGCCGGTTCAACCTGAATCAAAAGGCATGCCTTATAAATCATCTTTGACAATTTTGTTGTTTTTTAAAGATGCAATTCTGAGTTGTTGTGCTTATTTTTATGATGCGTCTATCAAAACTCTCAATTGGAATATATAGCCTGCTTGAAGGCTTTCTCCTTGTCTTACTATAGTTCATAATGCTTGTGAAGTTTCATTTCTCTCTAAATATAACCATTATCTTTTAATCTCTTTCAGTTGTGCGCAGCAAGAAGCGAGCGGTTGCTGTTGCTCCAACTCTGAGGTCTAATAAGAAAGTTTCCAGTCTTGTGGATAAGGTAAGTTAACTTTGTGCGAAGAGAGTAGTGCTTAGTTGCTTAGACTCATATTTAAGGTTCTATTCTTTCAAATATTATTCGTATATGAGGAATAGTGGTTGCAATGCCATTATATATCCTGAAGTTAATGAAAGTTCACGGATTTCATTTTAGTTTGCTGCACGTTGCTATTTTCCACAAAACAGCCCTCTGCATGTATCATTTTTTTGTCCATTTCTGGTGACAAATGGATAGAAAGAATATAACATAGAGAAACATAATTGATATGATCTGCATTTTGTCAAACCAACGAATTTTAAAATTAAAATATAATCCATAATTTTAGGGTTCAAATTTACTAATGTGGGTCTATGAAAGGATGCTGCTCTCGGGGTTAAAATGCAAAGGGTACGATCACACTTTCCCGTATGGCAAAATGGTCGTATCTCTTTACACTTTACGTAAGCAGATCAATGGAAGAGCATATGAGATTATACTTATGATTATCTATGGAGAATAGTAGCTTTCGCCTGCATATTTTGATGAATAATAATATATATGATCCCATAATCATGAGAATGCCCCCATTCGATACATCAACTTGAATGAGGTTTATTTAATTTGGGTGTCAGTTTCTCACGGAGGCAAGCCCCTATAGTTAATTACATATAAAGACCCTGGCCTAAGAATATTCTCGATTAGGGATGCTATTTTATTCTCTTCTTGGTTTGGTGCATATAGAGTTTTCTATGTTCATCTAATCCAAAAGCGATAAACTCTTCTCTTCATCTTTAATGAATATTAGATTTTTAAAATATACAAAAATTTGAGTTTAGAAGATCAAATACTCATTTAACATCTGAAGAAGAAACTATAGATCTAGAATTTATTTAAGATTTAGAGAAAATACATTGAGGGGTGTACAATCTTGACTTATATTTGCTTGGAGTGAGATGTCAGCTAACATCATAAAAACAATTAATCGCCTTATGAATGTAAGATAGGATGACTCTAATACTTGGGAGTCAAGAATTTTAATTTAGAGATTCAAATGATGATTGTATAATATGTAAATAAATCTAGCTAGCGTCATATATTATGATGCATGAGACAAATGCATAAAGAAAAATATTTTATTCTTTTATTTGGAACATATACAATCCGAGGTCTGCAAGTAAGGTGGTCAAGCTCCACCATAACATGCTTGGATTTTTAAACCTATGAATTTAAGTTCAAATGCGTTTGCTTTCTTTTCTCTAGCTCCAAGCCTTCTATAGGATTCCAAAAGAGATTACCCCTCACAGGGTAGGGAGTTATCTTTTGGAGCCCTAGTTGTTTATGTAAGCAAACATCTTTAAATTTTTTACAACCTTTGAAATTGAAATGTACAAATATATAATGAGCTCTTTGCAATTTACATCCAATCCTAGATACATTATAATTTGAATCTTTACTTTTACAAGTGTCCTAGTTACATTCTATTTTGAATTTTTGCTTTAGCAGCAATGGTATGATGTATGCATGCAAGCAGAGTGCACTATGAAGTAAGGTGTGTAAAAATGCATGAGTATGACATTTAGAGTACATAAAATAAATAAAAACACAAAGGAGATCCTCCAAACCAAGCTAGTCGCATCACACCAAATACATTATGTCCTAACTTAAGATTAGATTCGGTGGTCCTAACAAATAAATTTTGCATATGAAAAAGATAGTGTGTGTTTGGTATGACTTGGGAGTTGGGAAGCTTGATGTTTAACTTATTTAAATTTAAGGTTATTTGTTGGTTGTAGGTTAATGGAGATTTTAATTTAATTTTAAGTTTTAATATTTTAAGATTTTATTAATTAAATTTAGAATGTTTTATTTATTTGCGTTATTTTATTTTATATTTTAAAGAATCATATTAATTGTTGGCTTCAAAGTTTAAAAGTTATTAACTCAAGTCCTAAAGCTCATAATTGTAATGTTATCATTACTCCGTAAATGATATGATTGGTTGCATAGAAGCATTGCATTTAAATTATGTGTTTTAATTTTTAAGAGCTTTCAATTCAATAAACATTTGTCTTCCTAAATGGAGTCAAGCTTAAGATTACAAGATTGAATAATGAATTTCTTTGTTAAATCAGGGATGCTAGGTTTATTCAACATCTTTGGGGTTAAGTTAATAGCCTCATAAGCTCGAGTTGCCCAACAATTATCCATTTGTTTTGGTTTGATTATTGATTATTGATTTGTAATTAATTTATTTAATTAATAAATTATAGATTTATAATATTTATAGTTTAATACTTATATTCTTTCACTTCCTTTGTGTTGTTGCCACAACAGGCATGGCGACCAAGATTGATTATTTAAAATTTATTAAGGATCCATAAAAATCCAATGCTGTTATGCTCTCCAAAGAAATCAACATAAAGTTAATAAATTTATTTAATAAAATCAAGTTGAATCGGATGAATTATAAAATTTTATTTAATTAAGTTAATTAAGATTTGTTTATTATTCAATGATTTTTATTTTGATTTATTTAAATTTTTAAAGATTTATTTAAGTTTTAAATAAAATTTTAATTAATGTGTTATGATTATTTAAATATAGTTTTTTTAAAATTTATTTAAAGTTTCATCTTATTCTTTTATTTAATTTTTATTGATTTGTGTTTCATTTATTTAATTTTAATTTATGTTTAGTTTTTTTTTAATTTATGTAATTGGGATTCATTAATATCATTCATTCGCTTTAGGTTGATTAGGTTTAATTCATTTATGTTTAACTATTTTATTTCATTTTATTAAGAAAATTATTTTATTTCATTTATTTAGAATTATGCACATTATGCTATAGGAAAAATCAAGAAAGAATGTTTCTAAGTGTAGGTGATAAATCAAAAACTACGCAACCTTAAGCGTGTCACTAACGAGTGAAGTTCTAATCACTGGCGGGTTAGTGGGGTTGAAAAATTAAATACAGGTTTACTACAAAGATCTAAAGTTTAGAAAATCTATTCACATGCAGAGCTTTGGAGATCTAGGGGCATTAAGTTTTAGATAGGTTACCTCGTCGAAGCAAGTCAACGATGCAACGAATTGGCGCTCGCCTTACAAAGGCGATATGGAGGGAGGAGTAAGCCCAAGCTCATTATCTAAGTCTCTCCGCATTTCCTCACAGAGGTAGGTGTGAGAATTTCATGTACTTTAACTTTTGAATTAATTTGTATACGAAACTCGTAGGTATTATTAAAAAATAATCATGCATGTAAACAACACATGTAACGTATTTATAAAATTTTGTAAATGAATAAATTCTAACAATGCCTTAAATATCATATTACAATACATTTATAAAACATCTTTCAATTAAAAGGATCTTTAACTATAAATTGATAATTACAATTAACGATGTGATAGAGATGGGTCATAGGAAGGCCGCATTTTAATGTGATCAAACCATCCAAGGCAACTCTCTAATCTTATCTTCCATTTGAGCTACTCCAACATTTTCACGTATATGCCCATTTCGTATTATGTCTCTCAAAGTAAAGCCACTTATCCACCTGAGCATCCTCATCTCTGCAACACTTAACTTAATATTATGCTTCTCTTTTAATGGTCAACATTCTGCACCATAAAGCATTGTATGTCTCACCACAATCATAAAGAATTTTCCCTTAAGTTTAAGGGGGACTTTTTTTATCACATAAGTCTAATGCATTCATCCACTTCAACTATCCAACTTGAATTATGCTAATAATTTATCCATCTATTTAACAATCACTTAATTTGAACCATAGTTGTAAATGGCGCAAAATAACGTGCGCCATGGAGCACAGCGCGACGCACCTACAGTGACATGTTCATGGCGAGGCGCATGTGTTTAAAATAACGCGCACTATTTGTGCCACATGTGAGCCATGGCGCATGGCGCACGGCGCAAAATAGCGCGCCAACTTGATTTTAAATTTTATTATACTTATGAATATTTTTTACAAGAATTTACAACTTAACAGGTATGATTCTTATTGATTGCTACTTGAAGTGTTTCACTAACAACTATGGTTTAGAAGCGTCCACCTCTTAAAATTAAAAAAAATGCTCAGTACCGTTAGGTACATGCTCGGTACTGTTAGGTACATGCTCGGTACTGCTAGGTACATGCTCGGTACCGCTCGGTACATGCTCGGTACCGCTCGGTACCGCTCAGTACATGCTCGGTACATGCTCAGTACTGCTCGGTATCTTTCCATACGAACGACTTACGAACTTTAAAAATAAGCAGAACTTCAAAATTACCATTACAAATAAAATTTGTTCCGGGGGCACTGCCCTCGGAAACCCCCGCAAGGGTGCTGCCCCTTGACCCCGTGCCCTGACTGGGCAGGTCGAACTCCGCTAGGGGGCAGTGCCCCCTTAGACCCCTGACAGTCCGGCATATTGTTGTATTCATCATCTTTAGTAATAGTTGTTAGTGTTAGTCTGCTTCTTTATGAGTTCATGCTTTGTATACGTTTTTTTCATGAGTGCATGCTTTGATTGGAAGACATTGGACTCTATAGAAGAGGAGGAAGGGGTGAGGACTTTAAATGTGAATTCTTGTCTCTTGGATAGACTGTCTTTCATTTTTAATGATATTTCATTTTCATGCTTATTATTTTATAATTCTTATATAGTTTGCGTCATGTTCAAAATGACGCACGCCTCGCCATGCGCTATGCGCCATGGCTCCAAAGGGACCTTTGCGCCATTGTGCGCCATTCGCCGTTAACATGTATGCTTTGAACAATAGACCCAAAATATTTAAAACATGCACTCTCATTAATGACTTGATCTCCCAAAATCACAAACCCTTAACTCGATCTATTACTACTAAAATTATACTCCATATATTCAGTTTTAGATCAACTCAAACGGAAACCTTAAAACTCTAAGTTTGACCTCCATACTTCAAATTTACCTTCAACTCTCTCTAGTCTTATCAATAAAATAATATACCAGCAAAAAGCATACACTAGGGTACAACATCTTGCAAATGTCTTGTGAGAACATCCATGATTAAATAAAAAATATATGAGCTTAAGGCTGATCCTTGATTTAATCCAACAAAAAATAGGAAAATACTTGGTCAAACACTCAAACCACCTTGTGTTTGAACACAAGTAACAACACATGCATACACATCCCTAATGACTTGAATATATGTATTATTAAATCTTTCATTTTTTAGAACTTTCCATAGCACTTCTCTTAAAACTTTATCATATGCTTTCTCTAAATCAATAAATATCATATGAAGATCTTCCTTATTCTTTCTATGCTTATTCATCAAATCTCTCAACAAATGTATAGCTTCTATTGTAGACATACCTGGTATGAATCCAAATTCATTTTGAGAAACATTAGTATCACGCCGTAACCTATGCTCCATAACTCTCCCAAAGTTTTAAAGTATGAAACATTAACTTAATTCCTCTATAATTCGTAAAATCTTCTGCATCACTTTTTTTCTTAAGAATAGGAATATAAACACTCGTTCTCCACTCATATGATATTTTTTAGTCTTCAAAATAATATTAATAAGTTTAGTAAGCTAAGAAATTCCTTCGTCTTCTAAGCATTCCACCCTATTCGAATATCATTAGGTCTCATAGTTTTTCCGCGCTTCATTTTCATTAAAGTTTATCTAATTTTGTTTTTAGTAATATGCCGATAAAAACAAAAATTTTTATTTTCATTTAGGATGTTAGGGTCACTAAAGTCGATCGTATTCTCATAATCTTCATTGAAAAAGTTTAGCAAAATATCTCATTCAGCTTTGCTGAATATATCCTTAAAAAGGAAAAAAAACTTTTGATTTTCATCCTTATTGCACTTCACTTGTACTAAATCCTTATTACTATTATCTCTTTGTTTGGCTAACTTATATGTATATCTTTAGCATTCCTTAGTTTCTAATTATTATATAAACATTCAAAGATAAAGTCTTTGCATCATATATTGCTTTCTTAGATTCCTATGGGTCACTCCATATCTTTCCCAATTATCAGAGTTTTATATTTAAACTAATTTTTATTACAAATATTCTTATTTTTTTAATATTTTCTTGCACATTTTGATTCCACCACCATTTGTTTTTATTATTAGGAGCTTTGCCCTATGATACTCAAAGCATATCTTTTGCAATATTCTTAATGTCAGAACTACTACAGATCTCCAAAATAAAACATAACTTTCACCACATTTGCTTCAACCAACTTTCACATTCCGGTTGATATTTAAGTTCTAAAAGAAATGCAGGATATTTCAAACATAAAACTTGAACAAAAATCACTCACAAATTTAAAATAACAAGGGATTCTCCGACTCTTCAAGCTATAAAATTGAGTCTCATTATTTGAGTATGTAGTTGGTGTGCATGGCAAAGTAAAGAAATTAGCATATATATATATATATATATATAGGCACACACAAAAATGAAGAAGTCCAATCATGTTGTCAATGTTGCAAGAATCTTCATGGGATGGCCGCCTGTGCATTATGAGTTGTGAGCTCATAAGTTGCTGGGTTTGGTGTTTCCATATCCATAGTCTTGCCGAGCAGGTGGAGTAATTCGCGAATGAGGAATCACCTCTTATGTTTCTTCCTCAAGTTGTCGTGATTGGTCGCATGGGCATCACAATCAAGAGGCAAATGGATTGGGTTATCTGTTTCTTGCTTGGTTTCGTGGACAACAATAGCTCATTCATTGTTTGATTGCGTGTGGCTGCGGGAGCAAAGCCGGCGGCTAGGTGGTAGCTGGGTCAGTCGGCATTTAGAGAGGAATTACTGGTTTAGAGTGCTACAGTTGGGTTTGTTTGATTAAGGGCCATAAGGATGTAGGGAGGAGATGGGCTGAGTGGCCGGAGCTCGGCGTCTAGTGTGAGAGCCGGGTCAGAGTTGTCTCGGCCGGCCGTAGGAGGGCGGCAGCCTTAAGCGGGTCGGGTCGGAGCTCGCTGGGGCTAGCGTTGGTCGACGGTCGGGTATGATTGTGTGAGTTTGCAGAGAGGCTGGCGGGAAGATGGCCGTCGGTTGGGGGGGGGGGATTGGGTCAGGGTGGGCATGAGGTAGCTAAAACAGAGGTTGTGGTCAGATCGCCGCACGATTTCGGAGGTTGGGTAGGGACGGAGGAAGAGTGCTTGATTTTGAGAGCTGGGAGTCCAGAGCATGAGTGCCACTGTACATGAAATCGAGAGATGAAGAGACGAAGAGAAGGGTAGAGGGGCAGCCACCTGAGCTCTTTTGTATGAGAGAGAGAGTTCCAGAGCTTAGCTGTATATGAATCTTCCCTTTTTCTTTTTACGTGAAGGAGAGAGATTCCCAATGCATGTGGGAGAGATGTTTCGGGTCTGGAGCTCTTATGAGAGTTGTGAATGAGTGTCCTGTCCATGAAAAAAAAAAATGAGTCCCCTTTTGCCTTTTGTTGTGTGTATTAGAGAGATTATTTTTTTTCTTGAGTTGTCTGTTGTTCTGTGTGAGTGTTTGAGAGAATTCAAAGCTTTTTTTTCCTCTTGTTTTATATGTGAAAGAGAGGTGTGAGAGCAAATTTTTTTTTTTCTTTTTTAGATGGCTATACGTATAATGTGAGGGCTTAAGAGGGATGAGAGTTTTTTTTTTCTTGTGTCTTATATGAATGGGGTGGGATAATGAATTGATTATGGATGACCTAAGATGAGTGTGATAAAATTTATTTTATTCAATATTTTATTACATATATGTGAATAATCTAAATGATATTTAAATAATTATTTTAGTAGTATTTAAATGTTAATTTAAATAGTAGTTTAATTAATACTCAAAAGATCATATAATATTTGAATTATTTAAATAATATTTGAATTATTATTTAAATAATATTCAAATGATTATTTAAATCTTGTTTACCATTATTTAAGTAATATTTAAATTATAAAATAATACTCAAATGATTATTTAAATAGTGCTTACCATTATTTAAATAATATTTAAATTATACTCAATTATTATTTAAATAATATGGTGAAATCTATTCAACATTCTCGATACGACACAGATGAAACTCGATCCAGACATGGATGAGCTTATTTGGAAGCTCTCATCGATCCGGATGCGCTCACGTTGTCTATTTTGCAAAATGAGGCCCAAATCAAAAGATTTTGTGCACGTAATGAACATGTGCGTTAGAGGCGCAAAGTCATGTAAAATAAATACACTAAATCAGCGTTGACCCGATCACATATGTTTTAGGACAAAATAGATGACAACATGATTGAAAGGAGTACATCCTTAGGTCGATGATGAATTGAGGTAAATTATGCTACTTGATCTTTCATCAAACATAATGGTGCAACTCACAAGATGGTGGATTAAACTACCAAATGCAAGTGATAAGACTCTGCAAGTGGCTGATGCCAAAAAAGAGGTCAACAACTAATAGGAGAAACACACTCTGTTGTATATGTATAGATATAAATTGTATAGATACGAGGAGAGTTTATGATTGTAATGACTGAACTTGACTCCTGGTTACCTTAATTTCTTTTTACAGTGGATGGCTGCGAAAGAAGAGCTGCATGGTGAGGAGGAACCTGAGAACGCTCTAGAGATTCTAGAAAAGAAACGTCAGAAAGAGATAGAGGTTTGCACCACTTAATTTCTGTATCTCTATTCTCCACTGACAACTCTTTTAACTTTATTAGTGATTAATGGTCTTATAAATGTAGGAATGGCGTGCTCGTCAGTTTGCTACCGGAGAAGCCCAAGATAATGCAAATTTTGTTCCTTTGGGTGGTGACTGGTATTCTTCTTTTGACTTGAGACCTTAAGCATCGACACTCATTGAACTTCTAATTGCAAAATTATATGTTGAGATAATGGCTTCCATGGATGGAATTATTTATTTTGTCTATGAAACAGGCGAGAACGAGTGAAACGTAGGAGAACAGCTAAAGTAAGAGCCGAAGATGCTCAAACATCAACAGCAGTGATTGAGAAAGAGAAAAAACAGCCTGATCTAGCTGAACTCACCAAAGATCTTCCTTCGGGTTGGCAGGTTTGTGCATGCCAATTCACCAACTACTCGTCTTTTTAGCTTTCTTAGTGTTGAGCCAAAAAAAAAAAAAGAAGCGTAGAAATCAAGACGTGAAGAATTGACAGTTCATTTTAACTACCTCTACAGGCCTACTGGGATGATTCGACAAAGCAATTCTATTATGGAAATCAGACCACCGCAGAGACGACATGGAACAGGCCGACAAGATGAATTCTCGCTCCTATTGACCACCTGTGAGCGTCTTCTTTAACGAATTCCTCTCTTTGGCGCCGATGACCTTGTTGTTGATGCATCACCTGATTATAATTCTGTACAATATAGTTTAATTATTATCATCTCTTGTCCTTCACGTTCCCTCCATTAACACATGTTATGTTTATTTGTCTTCTTTGCATTATATTTTGTTTTTTTTTTGTGCTTATTGTTTGGTTGTTCTTCTAAGCCCCACTCATTTAGGATATGTAAAGAATTCAGTTTCTTAATTTGTATTGTCTTGTTAGTTAGCCTTTGAGGTATATCTGACTCTAAGCATAAGGTCTTCTCCAGTCATAGTAAATCCACTAGTTTTGATATTGCAAATTTGTCTCGTTATTTATTAATGCGTTGGTTTCGGCCTTCTGATTCATTAATTGTTTTCCTTTCAGTATATCTGCTCGCTCAACTTAAACACTCTCGAAGTTTACTCGAATCGATCCCATCTTCAAAATATAACGATCTCAAACTTCTCCTTCTTCAATCCTACTTCATAAGAAAAAACAAAAATACTATTTTGATAGAAATTGTAAAAAGAATTCCTATGTATATATACTATTTTAATCGAATCGATCCCATCTTCTACGTAATTAATTATCTTTTGCTGCAAAATATATAAAGGCAATGTTATTATATATATTTATAGTCTATGAATATTTATATTTTAAAAAAATACTATTAATTTTGAACTAGCAAATTCTTCTTCTAGTCGTCTGGATTATAGCATAGATCAAATCATTGAGAATTTGATCATATGTTGAGAATGAAAGATCTGTTGAAATTTTGAAATTTTAATAGGAATTTAATGAATTACGGTAGGAGAATATATGCCTTCTAAATTGACAGGATTTAGATTTACATAAAATTTATGATAAAATTCAATTAGATGAAGCCTAAGTCATCTCTTTCAGCATTAATCTATGCCCTGAAATGGTTTATTATAATTATATGGCATATCATGATATGCTATTTTACTCTATTATTTTACTGTTTGATTTATCATTATTCTTCATGAAGCTTAAAACATAATAGGCCTCTTGTCAGAATAAAATATTGATTAGAAATCAACTTAAAATCTGAAAAAACTAAACTGATATAGTTTTCTTACTTAGATATCAATATATTAATTAATTAATGATCCATTCAAATAAATTAGTTGTGGCGATAATATATCAAGTTCTTAGCTAACATTGATTAAAAGTTTGGAAGGAATGAGAAGTTTTGAAAGGTTGAACAATGGAAAATATTAGTGTTGTTAGTTAGATGTTGACTTTATATATGGTCTCAATTTATACAATGATAACTAAATAATGATTTCTCAGTCATTCTAAACATGTCAAAAAAAAAAAAATAATGATTTCTCAGTCATTCTAAAAAAAAAAAAAAAAAAAAAAAAAAAAAACTTTTTTGTCATGTTTTTCTAGAAAAAAACATTGCTTAAAGAAATTAAAATTACATTCTAAATGCTATTTTGCTCTCGGCAATAGCTTGGCAATTTGTGGTGGATTGTCGATCAAATATTTCATTTGGAGATGGAGAGTGACGGGTTGGATATTTAAGCAGTAGGAGACGATTACGGATTACCAATCTCCAGTTTTGTAGTAGAGGCTTGGTCAAAAAGAGTAACCACAACATCACTAGCTACGAAGGCTAAAGCTCATTATTCAGCTTTCATAGAAGAAATGAGAAACAATAGGTTGCTTTTTAACGCATCGAGATATCAAGGACTACCCAAGAAAAGTACAGTAACAAGTAATTGAACTGTGTCAGTTTAATCTGATGCCCAGTCAAAGTTGGAATAAGCGTGAAGCTCAAAGTTAACTGGTGTCAGACAGATAAACTATAATTCAATGTGCCACATATATAAAACAAAACACGCTTAAGCTACTAATAATGAAGAGTATATGGGTTGTGCATATGTTGACATAACAAAATTTATAATAAATGAGAAGTCCGAGTGAGTGATAGTTAAATATTAGAGTGAGCCAACAAGTTTTTGGTATTGCTGAGGCTATGAAAAAACTGCTGAAATAGCATTAGGTTCAGACAGTTTGGAAGCTTGGGGGCCTTGCATGAGCTTGCAATCCTTCATACAAGTTTTATCTAAAAGTTCTATAGCATGACGGGTTTGATTTAAGAAGATTCCATGTGCAAAAAATAATAACTTGAATGCCAAGAAAATATGATAAAGGATCAAGGTTATGCATGCCGAATCGAGTATGCAAATTGAGTAGAAGACTATCAATAGTAGATTGTTCATTTTCAGTGAGCAAAATGTCATCCACATATAAAAGAATATATAAACAGATACAAACTCGATGATAAAAAATAAACAGGGATCAACATTACTTGTGACAAACCCATAGCCCAATAGGTGAGAGAAGAAGGTAGAGAACCATTGGCGTGCAGCTTTATTAAGTTCATAAAGTGCTTTATGGAGATGACAAACATGATTAAGAAATTTGGGGTCTTGAACTTCGATTGGTTGCTACATAGAAACAATGTCATCAAGTTTGCCATGTAGAAAAGCATTGGAGACATCAGAATGCATAAAGTTCTAAGCTTGATGAGTAATTTCCATAGTGTAGAAGATTCAAATTGTAGGAAATTCCAGAACATGATTGAAAGTGTCATGATATTCATGGCCAAATTCTTGGTTGTAACCTTAGGAACCTAAACAAGCTTTATGTCGAGCCCCAGTCCCATTTGAATTAAGTTTAGTTTTGAATAACCACTTGTAGCTCATAAAATTTTTAGTAGGATGATGTCGAGGAAAAAAAGACCAAGTATCTTGCTGTTATAGAGCTTAAAATCCATTAGACATGGTAGAGCATCAAACTACAGACTTAATGGCCTTGGAAAAATAGGTAGGAGTAGTACTGGGAATTACAAGATGTTGAAGGTTATATATAGTTTTTGGCTTTAGAGAATTAGATTGAAATCTGGTAATCATTGGATGCTTAGGTGGTGTTGGGGGAATAAGAGAGTGATGACGATAAAGTTGGAGCAGTAGAATGAGAAGGAGAGGTTCATCACTAAAGGACTGTGCTAATGTGACAATATATGGTAAATAAGTTGTAGATTATTGTGTTGTAGGAGAATTTTATTTGGTAAATGAGAAGAAATGGACGGGGAATGAGAGATATTGGATAGTAGATATGTGGAGTGATAAGAAAAAGGGGGTTTTACATACATACCACTTTATTTTATGCTATTTACATATCTAACACCCAAAATATTAATATTACATGATTACCACCCATATAACAAATTTGGGTGCATGGAATGAAATATTAAAGTTTATAGGATTGTATGAATGATATAAATGCATTATATGAGTGGTATATTTAATATTAAAATTGTATATGAGTGGTAGGTATGTAATATTAATATTTTAGGTGTTAGATATGTAAATAACATAAAATAAAGTGGTATGTATGTAAATTTCCTTAAGAAAAAATATTTTCATCTAAATGAATAAGCCGCAAAATTTAAGTGTGACCTGTTAGTGGGTTGAAACATTTAAAGCCTTTGTAGTTGGATGCATAGCCAAGAAACACAAAAGGGTCTAATTTTGGTTCAAATTTGGTGTGAAGTTTGGAAGGAAACCATTGATAACATAGGGAACCAAAAACTTTAAGATGATTATATGTATGTGGTCGCTGATACATGCATAAAGAGAGATTATGGGTAATTTTGGAGAAGAGTTTGTTTATAAGGTATGTAGCTGTAAGTAGGCTGTCAACCCTCAGGGTAGAAGGTAGATTTGCATCAAAGAGCATGGCACACATAATTTCAAGAAGATGATGATGTTTGCATTTAACAATCCCATTTTGCTCGAGACCATAGGGACAACTAATGCAATGAAGGATAACAAATTTATGCAATTGAGATTGAAATTAGCATTCAGAAACTCACCACTATGATCATATTGGAGTATTTTTTACTTAAACTAAGTAAATTGAGAACAAACATCAAATTTATATTCAACATATAAACTCATAAAAACAAATAAAATCATAAATAAAAGTAAATAATATTTATACTTTTGCATGTATAACATAGGGGAAGGTCCTCATACATCAGGTTGAATAAGTTCATTGCTTTGAGTAGTTCTAAAAGGAGCTAAAGAAAAGGTAGATGATGAAATTTTACATGAGCTCATGAAGAGTACTGAGAATGAGACGATGTCTCAATGTTGGTAGCGGTAAAAGCTAAAAGTAGCTTGTGAATGGTAGTAGAGGGATGACTGAGATGTTGATGCCAAAATTATTGGAAGAAGAGATGTTGTAGGCTGTAGGAAAGGTGTTGAAATATTGGATCCATCTTAATAGGGTATAGACCCTAAAGACTGGGACCATGAAGTGAGATCTAATTCATAAACACGAATTATCAACAATTAGTTGATGAACATATATCAAAATTATGCGAGAGATGTGGAACATGAAAGACATGAGGTAAGTGAAGCATATAGGTAGGAGTGGGAAGAATGCCCTAACTAGAGTGAGCTATGGGGAGATTATGACCATTGCCAACTTGATAATTAGATGGGCCAGAATATGGCTGTGGATATTGGAGTTGAGAAGCATCAGCTGTTATGTGGGTAGATGTGTCAGAGTCCATAAACCAATTTGTAGAAGAGGCAACTTATTATGCGATATGAGCTTATGGATTAGATTGATAATGCATATAAATACAATGGCAATATTTTGGACCTAAATGTCATTTTTTACCACAAAATTGGCACTCTAGATTAGAAAGGCCACTTCTTCCACCTCGAGTAGAGGATGGAGAAGAATAACCTCTACAAGAAGGTGAGAATTGATGGCCATAACCAACAAGAAATAAAGCACGTCCATGAGGACAACCTTTAAATGCAACAAGTTCAAAGGTAGGAATAGTCGATGTCACAAGAGGTTTATTGTGAATAGTTGTGGCTGCAATGTTGAGTTTTTCACTACATAATAGGGCATATATATCATCTAGACTTATGAGGTGTAGTTTAGTATGCATTAAAAAGTTCGTGAAGGTTAAACCTTTAAGAATTAGTCAGAGGCTAACCAAGATAGGGGGGGGGGGGGGGGTGAATTGGATATTTAAAAAATTCTTTAGTGAAAAAGAAATCCTTTAAAAATGTTTCACATCCACACACGAGAATCGACACAGCGGATGCATAAAAAAGCAAATTTCACAACAACGAAATAAATCAGATTTTTCAACCACACACACATATATGTAGAAATTAATGTGTGGATAATAATCAGAATGAACACACCATAATTTATAGTGGTTTGATCAACCTAGCCTACATCCACTCCTTGTAGACT